TTATATGTTGACATATGTAAATTTATTATATTTTATTATAAATTTATTATATTTTATTATATGTTGACATATGTAAATTTATGATATTTTATTATATGTTGACATATATAAATTTATTATATTTTATTATATGTTGACATATGTAAATTTATTATATTTTATTATATGTTGACATATGTAAATTTATTATATTTTATTATATGTTGACATATATAAATCTATGATATTTTATTATATGTTGACATATATAAATTTATTATATTTTATTATATGTTAACATACATAAATTTATTATATTTTATTATATGTTAACATATATAACTTTTGGGGGCAGATAATAATACTACATTATGATGTATGCAGGGTGTTCTGTTTATATTGCAATAAAACATACAGAGGAATAATATTTGCTACAAGAACATAAACGTATGTATAAAAATATACTATAATAATAATAATAATAATAATAATAATAATAATAATAATAATAATAATAATAATGATAATAATAATAATAATATATAAAAATGTATTACATACAAATATGGAATTAAAACAAAAACGAAAGAACAATAGTACATATATATATATAATAATTTTAGACTACAATATATTTTAGTAAAACATACACAGGGATAATACCTGATACAAAAATATAAAAAACGTACATAATCGAATTTCAAAAAAATTTCCCTTTCCTCTTTCAATAAAATGCTTCGCAAATTTTCACATTCTGCAAATAAAATTAAATTGTTCACGATCAAATCTAGCGTTCTAAATTTTCCAAAAAAAAAAAATCTGAAATAAATTCCAGAATGTTTACGAATGTGTAGCGATACCAATTATGTGCACCGTGTAGAAAAAGTTTCTGAAGTCTCTGAAACTATATACTCTAAAGAATTTTAATTGATATTTCAACCATACAACGATGTTTATTTACTGTCCATATTCTAAAAAATTCTATTGTTATGATCATTACGTAATAATCATTATGCTTCAAATAATGAAAATTCTTCAGACATCGCTCGTGGTATGCAAGATAAACAAACTGAAGCACTTCACCACTCTCTTTCCTCTTCGACGAAATCATGCCAAAAATCAAATATCGTTTATACGCTTGTGTATAAACGCCAAGATCAAGGAGAAGCGGATCTTACCTCACTCTCTCCGGAGAGAATTATCTCCCTGGAGGAGGAGTACCGAGCAGAAAGCTTGACAGAAGCAACAACTAGGGGACGAAGGGAAAGAGGGTTTAACACGTGTACCAGTTTCTAGTGAGCTGTGTACGCTCGCTCGGTTAGGCGAAGCTTGCAGGCTGGCGGGTTTGAAATAGCTGAATAAAGAGCCGAAGGGCTGGGCAAGGGCCTCGAAGGAGAAAGTTGTTGCTGGAAAGCGGCCCCTACTACCTACCGCAAATTCGATAAAGTTTTTGAGTTGTTGCCTCTCGTCTTGCACGCTCAAGGCCAGCGTGCTCGCTCAAGTCTCTCTCAGCCGTCGTTTTCGCGAGTGAAAGAACGACGATCCGGGAGGGGAAAAGAACGAGAACGGGGGAGGCGGAGCTCGCGATGAACAGAGGGTGAAGGGGGAGAATGAACGGCTGAGAGGAAATCGGATTTCCCAACGTGCAACGAGAGTGTTTCTCATCTACTCCTTCGACTGTTTAAGCCCATTACGCCATTCGAAGAAACGCCATAAGCCGGCCGATCGTGTGCGAGGATCGCAGTTTATGAGTTTGCGAGGCACGGCCCTTCAACTCATTGTTTTTCAGATTAAAATCGTTCCTGCGTGCAGCAAAATAAAATGAACGTTCGTTTCATTCGGCCATTACTATCCTGAGATGAGAAATTCTCTCGGTGAAACGTAAGTGATCGGAAATGTTCGAAAAAGATTGAGATGTTTTTTTTTCATGTTTGCTGATTGAATTTCATTTTTTCGTGCGTTTTAAATATATATATATACGACAGTGTTTTATGTCTCGAACGTTTCAACCCTTTTTTTTTAATAATTTCGAATACTTGCGTTTGATTGAGAATTTTTTAGAGAAGTGTATTTGACAATAATGATATTAAAGGAAACAAAAATTTAAAAAGTCATTAGTAATAAATCTGTTGTAATAAATTGTATAATAAAGTATCTCTTATTTGTTTTATATTGTTTTATTTGTTTTATATTTCTCTAACAAAGGAGCATGTTTTGAACAAATAAAATTTCTTTACTTTCCACAACATTCCTTTAGTATAATAGACATCCTGAAAGGAACAAGTTATTTTAGAAAGAAATACCAGATAGTTGAATAAATTTATAATTTCAGCATTTTTATTACAATATTGTAATAATGTAATGACGATATTTTCTTCTTATTTTTAATTGACAAAATTAACAAAATTTGATCATTATCAATATGTAATAAATATTTTTTGAAAATACTGGAACATAAATGAATTTCGGAAAAATAGTACTAGATAATATTAAAGTCCTGAGCATGTCTAATTCATAGTAACGGTTTTAATGAAAGTGATATTTTAAAGTACTCATGTGCCTTCAGGACATAAAGGGTTAAGCGCGCGGAAAATTCTCTTGCGATAGTTATCGTATTATTCAGAACGTTGAGAATGTTCCTTTCATGGTTTTATGGTAAATTTGTAAGTCTTTGGAATTTGTCTTAAGCAAATGTTAAATATTGAAGTATCATCTTACATTGGTTTTCGATACTGTGATAAAATTAGTATAAATTTTTCAGTAAGCAAGACATTTTGAGAACAAACACATTTAAATACGGGAAATTGAAGAAATTACTATTATTCTTGTAAATTAAATTTTATGCATTTATACGAAATTTAGAAATGTAAAAATGTATATGATATATACAAAGATATATAAAATATTTAAAGTAGAGTATTCGTTGCAATTTTAAATAATTAAAATAATTAAAAATATTTAAACTTAGTCTTTAAATTTCATTTCATTCAGATACGTTTCACGAGAAAATAAGAAACTAGAAAATAAGAAATCTGCAAACTATTTCCTAGGAAATTGATTTTAAATTAGAAAGACTAATGTATTCTAATAATTAAGATAGAAATACAGTAATAGATAAAATAATTAGTCCATTGTCAGGAGGATTAAAGTACTAATTTAAGGAAATGAACATTTTTTTTTAATTCTAAGAAATCAAATGAGAGAAATAGAAATCTAAAGAATCATTAATGTTATGTTTGTATAATAAATTTCAATATTCCTTATTTGTCTTCTAAAAGGTTATATTTTAAATAAATCAAATTTTAACTTTTAATCACATTAAAGTGTTTTAACAGTGTTTACTTTAAATCTTTATTTTTAATAGTATTACTTTATTATGAAAAGCTTGAAGAAATAAGAATTGAATAAAATTATCAATAATATTTTCAATGTAATAAATTTCTAATATATAAAATTATATACAATATATAATATAAATTTCAATGTAATAAATTTCTAATAAATATTACCTATATATATTCTAAATTTTCATAGCAACGCTTCATTACATAGGTATTATGAGACCTTTTGTGAAGAAACTCTCCAACTATATTATTTCGTTTCTCTCAAACAATGGAACACGTAAGCATTAACCTTTCACGAATATTTTGCTCGGAGTTGCATCGAATCGGACGAAAACCTCTCCGAATGAATATTTCGTTTCTAACGGATTTGTAAAGAATTCCAACCAGCTGCATACGATCCCCCGTGAAATCGTATATCAATTAAATATAAAATTTATCAGACTCGTAGCACGCCATATATACAAGATGATTCACGTGATTGTAACATACCGTCTTGCTTTAAAATAAGGTTACAAAAGTGATGTTAGAGAAATAAGAAAATTTCAAAATGGACTTTTATATATATACATAGCAGCTTTAGTATTTATTTATTGGACAGAAAGATTTGTAAAAAAAAGATTTTTGTTTAATTAGTATTCGTCATAATTAGTATTCAAAAATTGTTATTTAATCTCCTGAATTGCTATTTTATTATAGTTAAAGTCATAAATTCTGCAATAAAATTCTAACAAAGTTTGATAGCTGTAGTTTTCACTGAAAATCTGCTATAGACTTAGGTGAAAAATAACCAATAAACGACCAATAATTAAATTTCCAAATAAATAGAGGATAAATAATAACAAGGTAATATTCTTGAAGAATATATTTACTTATTTTTTCCGATTAGTTAGATCATTTGTAGCAATCAGCAAAGAAAAAGAAACAAAATTTTCAAGTTTTTATTCAAGTCTTTAGTTAAAAAAGGATAAGAGTACGCAAAGAAATATACACATAATCCATTGGTGCTTATTACATCTATATAAAAAAGATTGAAGTGACCATGATCGAATAAAAGAAACTAAATTTCAATCTGAATAGGACGTGATAAGTCTTTCGTGATAATATGAGCAGTGAGGTCACATTATTTTTATTAAAAGACAGAAATTGGTTGAAAGCTATTTAAAGAAATTTCATTCTGAATTTGACACAATTTCACTATTATACAACAAATACAAAAGGAAGGAAGTCGTTATTATCTGAGTTTTCTTTCAGTTACATTTTTTTTTTATCAATTATTAAACGTTCCTGCTTGTTTTTCAAATTTTCCCGACTTGCTGCACTTGCACCTGAATAAATCACAAACGAATTCAATTGTCGAAAAAAATTAATCCATTCGATCGACGACGTAGTGCATTTGAATATTAATTAACAATTGAAACAATTTGGCCGAATTAATACCGTACACGTGCAAATAAAGTAAAGTCCATCTTTTCCTCCTAAAATTCAATCAGCAAAATTCGTTGCATTTCCCCACAAGATAGAAATACAATCGCTCGAACTTTTCGAGAGACAGTACGCAGTCCGCCTGCTCTGACACTGTCTGACGCGAGTTTCACGTTTCCTCTAGTTCGAAACGAGCGTGCAGATACTTAACGCGATCTCTCGCCGAAGTTTCCGTAAAATGATTTTGCACCGTACCTGGCTCAGATGCGTCACATGGCTGGAAGCATAGTAACTTGCTCTGGAACCGCAAGGTCTCGCGTACAGTGGCTCTAGGTCGGCGATGGTTGCGTAACTTCCGGAATTCGCGCTTCCGGGCCGTGGATCGACCCTAACCAGGACAGAACTTCTGGCCAAGCCGGCGGTGTCTGCTGCCGAATAGCTGCAGCAGGGCAGTGTTTTCCTGAAAGGGACAGACGACCCTGTAGCCACCTAATGATTATACACGAGGTTAATTATTTCTGTAATGCACGACATGCTACACGGCAGCGAGCAGCGCCACGCTGCATGAGTAATAATTGCGAGAGACGCTCAGCTACGTTGCCAGTGGCTGCTGCTTCCCTCTAGCCTTATCTGTCCTACGTTTCTCTGCTTTCACCCTAATCCATCGAACTATCTTTGACACCTGCGTGCTTTCACGGGAACTTCCAGCAACGACAATAATTTCCACCGACCTGTGATAATCAAAGCTTTCATGCAGATTGTAATCTTGAAGAGTAAATAGAAGAAAAGGTAGAATAAAATTCTCGACAGAAAATTGTTTCAACATGTGAAATTTTTTTTTTTCTTTTTTTATAAGAAGTAACTTTGTAAGTTACTTTGGATATATTTTTTTCGTGCAACTCTGCACTTTGAAATCACGTATCAATACACGAGGCACTATTCTACGTTCTTTTTTAAAATTTTTTAATGACGCAGGATGAAGTAGTTGAGAATAATTTGTTATTTAATAAAAAATGTAGTTTGTGGTAGTAGTAGCTTGTACGGAAAATTCGTGTTGATGAGTTTTTTTTACATTTTTTTTTTTTCTGCGAAAAATTATTCCACCCGACCTTTATTGAGAATCAACTCTGCACCACTGCAACATTTCATTTGCGACTTATTATTAAATTCTACATTCAATATTACGTTTTAATATATTTTAATTATAACTTTGATATATTAACATTTCTAAAAAATTTTAATTATAACTTTAATATATTAAAATATAATTTTAATATAATTAAATACAAATATAATTTTAATATAATTAAATATAAGTATAATTTTATATAAAATATAATTTTAATATAATTTTAATACAAATATAATTTTAATATAATTACATTGTATATTTTAATATAACACAAATATGGAAATCACGAATTAATAACATATATTAGTCTTGCACCTAGATTTTATAATTTCACGAAACTCGAAGAAAATGAAACATTTATGATTTTTATGATAAATTATAGTTTGAGTATATAAGATTAAGAATTACGTGTCTTTTCGTTTTCTGTAAACAAGAAATATTATGCGTATCTAAGTAAAAATTGCGCATGAGCTTCTGAGTTGTTCGAAATTATGAAAAAATAATTTTACATACATTTAACGAGTCTCTGTGTTCTTTCAAATGTACTCTTTCATATAATAAAAGTATGACTGAAACAACTCAGCATGAGAACTCTGCGATATTACATTTCACGAATCAGCAGATTCAGTTATGACTATATCCGTTATGCTTACTTTTACATAATAGCATTTTTTCATTCTTTACTTTTCCTTTCCGATTTAAGTATAGTTCGTATGATTTTAATGTTTAACCTTATTATTATTATTTTTATATTATTTATTATATTTATTATTATTAACTATTAAAAGTTATTCGTTTTATGATATTTGGATCATTTGCAGGTTAAACATATGCTGAAGAAAAAAATTAATTTTACAGTGATTTATTTGATGTTATTTTTGGCAATAGGAATGTTAACTATAAAATTATGTAAAAAGCATAAATCGATAATAATATTAATCATAAAATAATATATATTCATATTATATAATAATATTAATATAATTTTGTTACAGTATGTATACTATATACTAATAGTGATAAAATAATATATATTCATTTATAAATCATTGAAATTAAATAACTGAGAAACAACATTTTCCTTTAATGTTAATTAATTTTAAATTCTTATTTATAAATTGTAACTTAATAATTGCAGATACGCAACACGAAATACACAAAATACGCTAAATTTTTACTTTAGATTCTGTTTGTTTAATTAGATTTATAAAAATAAGAATTTACACAAAAATAACACACAATCTAATTGGATACATATTGTATTTCGTTACTTTTGTTATTTTTAATATAAAAACTGTTCCTGTAATATTTAAAATATCTATAAACATTCAATAATTATTCTGATAATTATAATATTTAAAATATCTATAAACATTCAATAATTATTTTGATAATTATAATATTTAAAATATCTATAAACATTCAATAATTATTCTGATAATAATAATATTTAAAATATCTATAAACATTCAATAATTATTCTGATAATTATAATTTTTAGTGGAATTTAATTGATATCGTATTAAAACTCTTACATACAATATTATACTTGCAGTGAAACCCCTCTATTCATTTCTTATGAGACAAATGATACGAATCTAAGAGAACTGAATTTTAAGTGCTTTTCCCTGTAGAAATATTCAAATTAGGGTAGTTTATCACAAGGTGCAAGCTTAATCTAAAATAAAATTTCCGTGAAGAGATTTCTTTGGTTGCATAAGAAAGTACCTACATATTTATGTATAGTACCTAGTTTACATAACGTTTCCTACTTAATTTCTCCCAATTAATTCTTAATATTTTAAAATATACTTTTTCTGTCCTGTATTTTTAGCAGCTTGTATATAGTCGCTTCAGACAGTTTCTGTATGCAAATGAAAAATTATCGATATTTTGAACTCTTCTTAACTCTATGAAAAAAGAAAAACAAAATCGCACAACAAATTTTAAGAAATCGTTAAAAGGGAAGATCTTAATCTGCAAGATTGTTGTAAATTTACTTGTGAAAAATGTTCTATCAACGTCCATAAAGATGTTTGAATTTTGACAGAAAAGATACAGCATCTCCGAGAGAAAAGTATTACTTAATCTCTTTAAAAATAACATAAAAAAAAAGAAACAAATGCAATAGTACAGAAGCTTCACGTTTTAAAACGAATATAAGGTCTGTGATATATTTGTTAAAAATCATCGACAATTTTGTCAATTTATCAAATATGAGAATGGGAAAATTTAGATATAATATCTTTTTCTTGTGAACAGTGTTTCAGAATGGAATAAATATTTTAGAATCTGTATAATAAAGTTATTACATTTAATCAAAAATCCAGTTTCATTCGAGTGCTATTCGAGAGAATATTGAGAACTTTTTCAACAAATTATCTATTCCTACGACAGAAAAATTTTTACTTTTACAAGTTCCGTTCTGTCTGAAAGTTTCATTTCTAAAAACATTTACTAAAATGTTCTACGATCTGTTTCAAATAGAACTTATTTAAAACATCACTTTTTCGATCCCTGATTGTCGCTGATACACGAGACATGTTATTCCAAATGGTTAAAAAAAAAAAAAAAAAAAAAAAAAAAAACTATAGAAAATTTCACTTTAATCTGTTATACACACTAAATCTCACAATCTCTAATTCTCCTTGGTTTTTTTCTTTTTTTTTTCTTTTTTTTTTACTTAACCCCTTGCGCTGGCAACTGGTTCGCGGACCATAACGAGCGACCGAATACCGTATACAATAATTCGTCGCGTTCCTTTCCTTTTCTAAACTCGTCGGATAGAAATTATTAAAAAGTAACAAACTTATTATTCGTTTTGCCTATTTAAATACACTTAAAACTGAGAAAATGTTGCAATTTGAGGCAAAATAAAATTATCAAGCGTGCGCCATTCCAGCGCAAGACTTTTTGTGTTTTTTAAATTAGCAACACGACACTCGCAGAAAGTTTGCGAAATACGCATCTGGCTACGTATTCGGTACGGATCGATCCCCGGTTCCTCGCCAGCCTCGTGTGAAATTGCCGCTTAGCCTGCGGGGAAAAAATTTTCAAAGAGGGTTCCGTCCCCCCTCCTCTTTTCGCGGCGAGATATTAGAGCAGAACGAGGTTGAAAAGCGGCGAGATAAGGGAGACGAGAAGAAGCACGATAAACGCACGGTCCACGGATAGAAAGAAAGCTGAAATACTGGCAGGGAATGCTCGCGGAGGAACGGCGGGTAATTCTCGATATTTCGCCGGATTTATTGGCCGTTCCGCGCATGTAAATTCGCTGTTCGCGAATTCGGCGGAAAAAAAAAAAAAAGGTTGAACGGGTAGGGAAAAAAAGAGAAACGCAGCGCGCCAACGATTTCAAATATTCCACGCTCGGTTTTTTACCCCCGTAGCCGTTCTTTGTACACACGTTCGAGGATCTACGGGGATCTGCTTGGTATTTTATGCCGCGGTACGAGTACAGATTTAGCATGCTCGATTTAGTTTGTTCCGCTGCTAGCGACACATTCGTGCGCGATAATTTCTGTACAAATACGCGGCAAACACGAGGACGTGATTTATTGGCGCATTAAATTAAAAAACGCTGTTCAATTTGCAGCGCCCGTGGCGCCGACTTTATCGCTATCGTGGTATTTAAACATTGATATATGCATCGTTATGCGAGGAACGATGTTTACGTTTCTGTTCGGGAGTTTATTTTGAGTTTGCCGATGTTTGGAGAGCTAGTGCAGCGGAGTTTCCAATATTGGAACTGACAGGGAGAAAAATGATCGATGGACGATAAACAAGAACTTTCCCTCAGAGATATTAAATCGCATGCATCCAAATGAAGATCAACGTTAGAACTGAAGTATAATATAAATTAGGAAGGAGATTAAAGTGAAAGCAAAAAGTGAAAAAGTTGATAATACATTCAGGAAAACAATCTTCTATTTATATACTTTACTTAAAGATCATTCGAGTCTCTAAAAGTTAAATATATAAAAAGAAATATACAAAAAGTATATATAATAAGAAATAATAAAAATATATTATGTAATAAAAAATAGTAAAATATACAAAAAATATAATAAAAAATAAATATATAATAATATAATAAATGTATAATAAAAAATAGCAAAATATATAAAAAATATATATAATAAAAAATAATAAAAATATACAATAAAATTTAAATATATAATAATATAATAAATGTATAATAAAAAATAGTAAAATATATAAAAAATATATATAATAAAAAATAATAAAAATATACAATAAAATTTAAATATATAATAATATAATAAATGTATAATAAAAAATAGTAAAATATATAAAAAATATATATA